GGGCCCTGTACAACCACTGTGTTCACCACATCTGTATGGCTAGAGCATCATGCCAAGCCTCCACTGCTGCAATCGACATATCAATCACACCTTCTGTACGTCAACGTCGAGCCTACAAGATAACAGATGAATATGACTGATCTGCCTGTCGGCATTGAAGTGGATTCGCTTCGTTGAGACTCGGGAGGTGTGTGGAGACGGACCACCTTCCCGTCTCTTGGCCTTGATTCATATTTCAGACCCTAGTGGATATTCCGCCTAGGCATAGTTGATATTTTGGGTCCTATGAATTGGATATTGAGGGAGTTGGAGCGGCGACAGTGGACCTTTGATTTGTCTAATGGCTGTGGTACGTAGCAGTTGCCATGTATCACGAATAGAGATCAAAGCACTGGGTCAAGGCCAGTGATGCTCCGTAGATCATGCATAGTGTGCTTTGGAATTGTATAACTCCCAAGGAGATCTTCATATTTCATACACACCAGAGCTCCACTGAACTATCTGTCGTCACAGCCATTCTTGGCATCGTGTGTGCAAAACGCAAGACTGGACAATAACGCTGACGAACCATGCAGCATTTCCCACAGAGAAATCTAGCTTTTAGACTCGAATCCTGGTCAGTATTCTTAAAAATGGTTGTTGCTCCCTGCCTAATGCGAATCCTCCCAATGCCAAGAGAAGCATTGATGCGCTTCCCAGCAGCAAAAGCTGGATTCTCCTCTGGCTCCAGCATCTCCATCGACTCCATCTCCCTCTCCTCTGAGCCCATCTCTCTTGATTCCACTAGATCTACAGGATGATTGCATTCTTCTGGACCCATGATCTCTTCATGGTTACGCAATGGATACCAGATCGTGGCGTGGAAATGCCATACATCCACTCATAACATCCCGGCCTCAGGGGCAGTTCGAAAAAGCAAATACAACGCACAAACCTAGCGCGTTCAAGTATTGGCTTCACTACTGCGACTCCCTCCCCCTTTCCTTAAGTCTCACTCGCTAACTTGGTTTCGTTTCCACAGCCACCACAGAGCTTGGCAGCGGGTCTCCCGTCGATGATGCGTCGTCGATCCCTCTCTTGGCCCGGCTCATGGGCAAACCAAATTGAAGGCGTCGGCGCACGTTGAGATTCACTCGGTGATGTTTTCTGTAATCTGCTATATTTCGAATGTTGCCCAGAACTTCCTCCACCTATGATTTACTAGGGTCCTGGGCTCTTGGCCATCAGGGCCCACGGAATACACAAGCACCCAGACCCGTCTAATCGGCTTCAAAGCTGTTGCCTTCCCTATCGATGATCTTCGGTTCCACTATTGGGCTTAATGGCCCCTTTCCATTTTCTTGTGAAAATCCAACTGCTTCGGCCCGAAAGCCTGCAATCGGGCGACCCGATGGGGTACTTTCTTCATCCCATGATTCATTCCCGACTTCTAATCTTTGAGATCGCGCCGTCGAAGACTGGAAAGATCTCAAGATTCGAATCATGACAGCCACTTTCGAAGGTTAAACTAGGAAAGCCGGCCAAAGGAGTGAACCCGATACCGTAAGAAGCAAAAGGTGCCAAAAAGCTGACAATAGGAAATGAACCTTATCTCTCTTCCTTTTTTAGATTATGTGACAAGCCCTCCTATCTTCGCTGTGACCTGTACCCATGCTCGCCAAAAACGCGTCATCTGGATCGGCATGGCGAGAACGTTGCATTTGTTGTTTGCATGCCTTGCTCATCTTGCTTCAGGCACACTCCCATACCAAACATTCTCTTGGCGAACTCTCGTCAGTTTGACACTATTGTGAAGATCATGGCTCATCTGCCTAGGCATCAGGCTTTACCTTCCACCTTCCCATTGTGTAGGCTCTCCACAGTGAACCTTCTCTCCTTTGCAAGGAGACGAGTTGCAGCTACGCCCCCTATCTAAATATGTGCCTGGCTGAGCTCCCTTCCTAACCTTTCCGATTCGAGGAAACCATTGATCCAATCTGGAGCAACGAGTTTATAGGATGTCCTTCGCGGTATCTGCTAAGCCAAMCACTGTTGATCCATCCTGCGCTCCTATTTTCTTGGACTCTTGGCCCAGACAGCATTCACATCAGATGGGCTGGCAATAGTTGTTAACCCGAAGCCTTCAATGTTTTAGGTGGCCGTTCACATGTGCATGGCGGCTTTTCCGTCTGTTATAAAGTATCTATGGCGCCAGCGATATCTCGTTGTTTCAATCGGATCACTTACATTCTCCAAGGCTTTTCCAAATCTTTCTCTCTTCTTTCCTTCTGCAGGCGCCGCATACTGCATCCATTCTTTCAAGTGCACTTTGGCTGATCTTTACCATTTCTGCTGCGAGATCTTCGATATATTTCATCTTTGCCCTGTCTGTGGTTTCTGTAGTGGAGTCGGAGCATTGACAGGTCATCTATACGCATCCCTTTCATCCGAATAGGACCTTGTTTCATGTCCCTCGTTCTAGGACATCTTCACTAAGCTTGACATAATTTCCTCCTTCTCTGCCTTTATTCATACTCTTTTCGTATCCGTATCAGGACCGAGCTACCTGGCAGTCACGATGTTCAACGATCATGTTCCACCAACATCGTCACAGTCAGATTCTGGCTTTTCTGAACATGAGATGAAGAGACCTCGGCTAAGCCTTCGTGAGCGCCTACGGCACTTCACCTGGGCCTGGTATACCTTGACGATGAGCACCGGTGGACTGGCTCTTCTGATTGCTAGTCAGCCGTATACCTTCAAGGGAATGAAGGGCATTGGGTTGGCCGTTTATGTTATTAATCTTCTGTTGTTCGCTCTCGTCTGTTCTCTGATGGCGCTCAGATTCATTCTGCATGGCGGTTTCCTTGACAGCCTGCGCCACCCTCGCGAGGGTCTCTTTTTTCCTACCTTCTGGCTATCCGTTGCAACGATCATCACTGGCTTGCATCGTTACTTCGGCTCCGAGGATCTAGGGTCGTATCTCGTCGCGCTCGAAGTCCTCTTCTGGATCTACTGTAGTTGCACCCTTGCCACAGCCGTGATCCAGTATTCGTTCCTCTTCGCTGCCCACTCCTACGGCCTCCAGACAATGATGCCATCGTGGATCTTACCAGCCTTCCCCATCATGCTCAGCGGAACCATCGCCTCTGTCATCGGCGAAGACCAGCCCGCGCGATCCGCGATCCCCGTCATCACCGCCGGCGTTACATTCCAGGGCCTAGGCTTCTCGATCAGCTTCATGATGTACGCCCACTACATCGGCCGACTAATGCAGTCAGGGCTTCCCTGCCGCGAACATAGACCAGCGATGTTCATCTGCGTGGGGCCCCCGGCTTTCACTGCGTTGGCTCTAGTGGGAATGGCCAAGGGCCTGCCCGAGGAATTCAAGATCATCAACGATGCACACGCCCTCGAAGATGCTCGGATTCTCGAGCTGATAGCAATCATGATCGGCGTGTTCCTGTGGGCACTGAGCCTCTGGTTCTTCCTCATTGCCTTTATTGCCGTCGTCAGTTCCCCGCCTACAGCCTTCCATCTTAGCTGGTGGGCCCTGGTCTTCCCTAATACCGGGTTCACCTTGGCCACTATTACCCTGGGGAGGGCATTGGGTAGCCCGGGCGTCTTGGGCGTTGGCTCGGCCATGTCGATCGGTATTGTCTGCATGTGGCTCTTCGTTTTCGTCTGCCATATTCGTGCCATCATCCGACAAGACATCATGTACCCGGGCAAAGACGAGGACGTGGTAGAGTAAACCCACCGGCAAACAATCCCTCTGTCAATGATCTTCAACTTATAATCTTTGAAATACCTTTTTCTGATATAATTTCAAGCGTAAAGAACAACCTCATTTTACCTCACTCATGCTTTTCTTTTCCTTTTTACTTTTCGGCGCTATTCTTCATTTCAATTTCCACAAATTTAGTCGGCGTGTTCTGCATTGCAAAAGGCGTTGGGGTGCACAAGTCAGTCTCATTCTGTCATATCGATTTCCTGTTCATCAGCAATAACTGCACATCTATCTATGTTTATTGGACCGGAGCCTGCTTTTGGAGCATATATGTATATTTCCGGGTTATTCGATGCCCTTGCGAGATCGTGGTACTATTTTAAGATGGTTAGATTTAGTTCTAATATCGAGGCAATCTATACTAGAAATCTTTTATTGATCTTTGCCGTTCGTACCGCAAGGCAACGTTGACAAAAGCCCTTGCCGAACACTCAGGTCAAAATTCATGCCTACGGCGGCTTGCTCGTGAAGGTGTCTTCTAGTCTATGGGAATGCTCTGGGGCTAGGACTGCTGGAGTTTGGACCGCTCTGGACTTTCCGCTCTATTCTCGCAGCCTCTAGTTGGTACCGACCACATTCCCAAGGCAACTTTCCAGCTCTGGACTCAAAACTTGCAATCTCAAAACTTATTACAGTTCAAATGCAACTCATAGTGACGTTTTATTGATTCTTCATTCACGTCCCCCCATTCGGGTAGCAGACTGATGTCCACCAGGCCAAGGGAAACATCCTGTTATAGGTAAAAACCTTGACCAGGGCATAGCTCGCACTAAGTACAGGCCCCAACTTCGTAAACTCTTGTCATCAACCGAGCACAGTGTCAATCATAAACACAATGGAATCTCCCCTGAAAGCGATGCAACAGCAAAGCCGAGGGCGTGCCAGGAAGCTCCGAGACAGATTAGATTAGCAAACACGCACCACGAACGACAAGACTAGCTCACATTATCAAATAATGAGCTTCCGCTTCGCTGCAGTGTGGCGAAGATGTTTTTAGCCAGCCTATAATTGTAAGTTGGGTACACAAGGAAGTGGAAAAGAAAGTTGCTTACAAGCTCGGTCACTCACTGGGCCGGCCACGATGCAGCTACTGTTGGCTAGTGGTCTGTTCTCGAAAAAAAGGCGTGTGTTTACTGTAGCCTCGTTAGTAGAGCTATAGACAGAAGAGGAAAGGCAACTGACAGGCTCATAAGAGGATTCGAAGCTGTGCCTCCGGTTCGGACAATTGTTTTTAGCCAGCCTGAAAGTTGTCAGCAAGGAATGAAAGTTCACTGAGGACAAAGAAATACATACAAGCTCTGTCACTTACTGGGCCTGTCCGGACCGGCAGGTTGTCGTGGTTGTCGAAGTGATAGATGGTTGGCAAGCCGTTGAAGAGTGGAAGCGGCGGCGACGCTCTTGTCTGATCAGATCAGGTCACAACGAGACAGAGGGACTCCACTTACAGGAGCATGTCCCGTGAGGGAGCTGGCCTGCAGTGCGAGCGGATGGTTTTAGCCAGCCTGTGAAAGTTATTAGTTCAGGGCATCGGACAGAGAGATATGCAAATTCACATACAAGCTCTGTCACTTACTGGGCCTGCCCACGATGCCAGGCATGATGCTCAGAGGAACGAGGGCGGCCGGCAAGGGAGGTGATGTACAACCAGCTCGCTGTCAAGCCTCAATGACGCGCATTTCGAAAATGATCAGCTTCTGATCGAAACGAGGAAGTTTGCCCCAAGGCTACTTACAGGGGCCACTATGGTGGGACATGGAAGATGGGAAGAAGTAAGGCGCGTGAAGCCGGCGAAGATAAATATCTGGAGAGAGCAAAAAGAATGTGGTTCATGTTGAGAAACAAGGACAAGGAGAAGAATGGCGCAGGAGATGAAAAGAAATGTCTCATGGGCAGGGGCAAGCAGAATAGCAGGAAGGAAAGAAAAGAGGAGGAAGACGGGATCAGCTGCCTTCTTGTACTGCGCTGGTGGCGAGCCATGACCCCCAAGGCAACCGCTGCAGATAAGGAAGGCACGATCAAACTGCGGCACTGAATAGCGTCATGCTCCCCAATCTAGGAAAGATCGCTGTGCTGGGAACTGGTTGTGCAGTTTGTCGCCTAAAATCGTGACGAAAAAGACAGGTCAGAGCGAAAGGGGTGCGCAAAATAAGGTCATCATGAGCCGTTGATCGTCCGGTCCTGCTTTGACAGAAGGGACTAGGTACATACAGAGTTCTTCCATACTCCTTCCAGCTTCAAGAATTTCGAGCTTGGGCCAGGCCGAAGTCCACTCAGTAAGAGCATTGCTTGCGTCACTGGAGCAGTAGACCCTTCCGTATCAGCATACATATTCTCGCAGAAGCGAGGAGCCGCGCAAAGAAGAATACGAATACAACGTGTTAAAAGGCCTTAGTCGTTGATGTCAAATGCTAAACTGTACAGGATCTGCATGAATGATAGTACTGTACTATATACAACCACAGTGGGCCATAATAATTCTTTCCCGAAACACCAGAAACGCCTCTTCTTGGAATACCAGTTCAATTCCCTGACCGGGGTCCAGGAACAGCTTGGGTAATCGAAATATGGGTATAATGCGACGCAAAAGGTGAACAACCCTTCAAAACTTTTGTTACCCTGGCCAAACACCTCAAGACATTGATTGTCCTGCCAAGGACCTTGTTTGTATGAAGTACAAGTGACTGCGTGCCGGATCCCAGGCACAGAACAGAACCAGACGAGGAACGTTTGTTTCGTTAGACTCGAGGCAGTTCGCTCGACTTTGATGCACACTGGGTAGAGCATATCTCCCAAGCAAATCCAATGGCTTCTTACCGGAAAATGATCGGAACGAGACAATCATGTGTGTGCGGAGCTGCTTTACTGGTTCGGATGTGCAGAGAAGCCTCCAAAAGAAGATTGAGCCTCGTGTTGACAACCGCATGAGCGAGCATATGTAGCAGACAGTCATATGCCAGCAATTCGTGTCTTGCCGTGATCAAGCAACTTTCCGACCAACATTGCCAATACCTCGTCCTACCACGCTCACGATGACGTCCCCTTGCTCATTCTCACCGGTAGCATCTCTTAGACCCCAACCAGGTGCACCAAACTTGGCCAAATCTCTGGCCAGCTGGATGATACTCTCGTCGGCAATCACCTCCCGTCCAAATTGGAGTCGACCAACGTCCTCCGACCCCATTGTCATCAAGCCCAGCATGGTCGAAGCTGCAGCCGGTGCAACGCATCCGCCCTTCGATACAGTTTCCAGAAGCTGGTAGGCACATTGTTTTCCAATATCCTCCGGTGCTTGGCCACCGGCAGGTGGAGAGGCGACATCAGCGGAGTACAAGCAGCCAGTGGAAGACTCCGCAACCAGGGATAAACCGAAACCAAGACCGATCTTCTTCTTTGCAGATGGGTTGTTTCTGTCAGGGACCAGCGGCGCGGACGACACGTCGGAGAAAATGTAGGTGTCGGGAACGAGAGGATTGAGGATGCCACGCGCCACATCGATCATCCTTGCATTGTTGGAGGCTGAAACACCCACCGAGTACGCCACGCCACGAACCTTCTTGACTCTGCCTGGGTTCATCAAGTGCAGTGTTTTCGGAAGACGCACTTGGTGGCCGAAGACCAACTGAACTTCTCCACCGCCTCCCCTGCCGTTCGGTCCGGGATTAGACCTGCGGAGGACACGAAGCTCAATGTTGTTGAAGATACCAAACTGGTTGTAAAGAGGAAGGATTGCAGTGCGGACGCTGTCCACGGACATGTCCCCAGTGGGTGTGGCCGAAGTGATAACGCCAGGACCAGTGAAGAGTACCTTGATCGGGGCTTTAGAGAACGGCGCGAGGAGACAAAGAGGTATTAAGAAGTAGCTGACGCCTCGAGTGCATCCTGCTGGGAGCTCATGCCGAATAACACCTCCGCTGGTGGCCCCGTTACCTGCAAGGCCTCCAGTGATCAGACCGGGCTTGTAGATTACGATAGTACCCGTATATGAGATTTCCATCTGGGACCCATTTGTAACTGCCTCCAAGAGGCGCAGAAACGAGATTTCGTGGGAAGCAAGACCGGGATTCGTGGGCGACGAAGGACGGATCTGGGAGATATGGACTGCACGGCCGGTTAAAGTTGAAAAGATCAGTCGGTTCACAAAATTCTTGTGACCAGTGAACCGAAGAGGAGGCTGGGATGTAGTGGCCATGATTGCTGGGTTGGAGATCTCCCGATACCCTGTCGTCGATATCAGAAGCTGATTCTCTCAATCTCAAAGTGTGGATAATTTTTGATAAAAAGAGAAAATCTGTCGGAGAGATGATCTTCCTTTCCGGGCGTCCTGCTTATCTATCTCCGGCTATCTCCGCCAGATGGGATGATCGCATCGACTTCGGCTCTTTGCTTGATAATCAATATGTATGACTGCAAGAATAAAATCTCATACCTCGTCAATTGAAAGTCTGTCCGGCATCAAAAAGGCTCCCAAATCAAGAAGAAACTTGCGATAATGTTACCACCAGCTCTGAACATCCCGAAATGGTATTTCCTACTCAAGTCACACCGAAAACCGCATACCCCTCCCCCGCTTCGCAGGGAGCATCTCCTGATACGAAACCAAGAAGTGCACTTACATTTCAAATAATGACCAGGCTACAGGCTCGAAGAAAACTCTCATCTACTTCAACCGCCGGTGAATAATTACTGCGTCTACCACCCCTCCTCCCCCGCGACAGCCGGATACACGGTTATGATCGTTGGGGGCCCAAATGCCCGCACGGACTATCACATCAACTCGACCCCAGAATTCTTCTATCAGTATCGAGGCTCCATGCTTCTAAAGACAGCCGATATATCAGTCTCTCCTCCTGTCTTCCAGGATATCCCCATCCATGAAGGATCGATCTTCTTACTGCCCGCCAATACCCCGCACTGCCCTGTCCGGTTCAAGGACACAGTCGGTGTAGTGATGGAGCAGCCTCGGCCCAAAGACGCGGTTGATACGATGCTGTGGTTCTGCAAGAAGTGTGGGGAGGTAGTCTGGGAGAAGCGGTTTGTGTGTACGGATCTGGGGACACAGGTGAAGGAGGTGGTGGAGGAATTTGCCGCTGATCAGAAGAAACGGACTTGCAAGGCATGTGGGACCATTGCGGAAACGAGATATCAAGAAGGGGAGATTGTACAACCACCTAGATTTCTGGAGTGACTGGGTCTCTGCTTTCTAACCTATAGGCGGGATAAACGAAGCCCGGGAAACCGGATGACAAGTCATGTACTATATGTAGTTGTTCAAGCGCTGTATTCTGACAATCTCCAGTTTGTACATTGATTTGATGAGAAAGACACAGGGCGTTAACCCAAATGCGCTTGCTGACTAGAGGAGAGCTGAAAACCCGCAACTCGCTTGGACGCGTCATGTAATTCTGGCTGAAGCATAGCGAGAATCAAAGTTAGGTAGGATGGGCCGAGGTTCTGGGATTCTGCGGGACGTGCTTGTAAGAACAGGGTCTATTAAACCCAAAAAAGTACAGTAAGAATACAAAAGTGGGTGAAATGAAAGGAAAGAGCTGGCAACAGCCGAGTCAGAAAGAGTGAGCGCTCGAAGAGCGATGAAGGTATTAACACAAGTGCTGAATAAGGCCTTGCCTTGAGATTGTATCTCTAATGGCAAGGTTGGGCTTCATATGGTCATGACAGCGAGAGCCCCCAAGAAAGGAGATTATAAAAAGTGCGAAAAGTGAGGTCTAGGGCAACAGGCGCATGGCGCTGCCAGAGTAGAAAGTATGCAAAGTATTAGTAGGTTCAGCCATGTGCCAAATGGAGGAACCCGCTCAACATCAAGGACAGAAGAAATAGGTGATCGTCCAACATGAGCCACCATCAACAGCATCCCGACCCAACGGCCGCTGTTCAGTCATCAAAAGGGCAATCAATGCTTTCATGACCGTCCCTCTCACAGAGGGCACACCACTTCGATTCATCAATCACTCCACTGGCTTTCCCTGCAACAGGAGCCATTGAAGCCGTGAGTCCTCCACTGATACCCTTCAATCCCTCCAGGACGGCATCTCGTCCTGTCTTTTGAGGGGTGGTGCTATCCTCACCCTTCGAAGGTAACGATTCTCCGGCGATGGAAGTCCCGGGTGTCGACTTGTCGTCCGCCGAACCCTCGTGGTGTGACTGCTGAACGGGGAGTACATGCTCGTTCTTGGTTTCGGCACCAAGGATGTTTGTGCAGCTCAAGATATCATGACCGCCGGTTTCGCAAATCTCACACCACAATGAATTGCCATCATCAGAGCGGCCATCAGACTCATGCATGGTCTCCAGACGGTGGTGGGAGGAGTCCGAAGCTGCTCGGTGGTGTGAGCCAAACGGCTGATACTGACCTTCGCCATGCGGTTGCTCTTGCCAGTCATTAGGGACCACTGTGCGGTCAGACAGTCGATGAGCATGGTTGATGGTGCTCGCGGTCCCGATATATCCAGCAGAGTTCGATGGTTTGTGGTGAGTCGTAGGACCGCTGATCGTGGAGCTGCGAGTACGGCTCTCACTGCTAAGCCGCAATTGCTGTAATTCCCGCTCAAGCTCCTCGATGCGATAGTTCTTGCTCTCGGTTGCGTGCTCAAATTCCTGAATACGCTGTTCCAGATGAGCGATTTGTTCGGACTCATGGTCCTGTCGAGAACTTGCAAGCCCATTCTGCAGGCCAGGAAAGTTCGGATCGCCCCTGCTCAACGAATGAATGATGGCTTTGAGGCCGCGAATCTCATCGTCTTTCTGGTCTAGTTCCTTCGAGTACTGCCGGCCTCCGTCTCCGCCTGAATGGGCATCCCTCAACATAGCGGTGGAATGTTCCCGCTCTTTTTTCAGCTCTAGCTTTGTCCTTTCAACCTCTCCTCGTAGGAACTCAACCTCAGCCCGAGCTTCCGCCTCGCCACGTCTTGCGTCTTCCAGGCCCTCTTCTAGCTCCGAAACCAGCTCTTCCAGCTGCTTCAGCTGCCTGGCAACGGCCTCGACATCCTCATCCCGGTCTTGTAGCTCTTTATTCTGCTGCATGAGTTCGTCCAGGCGCTGCTCGTAGACCCGCTCGGTCTCGGACGCGGCTATTTCCAACGTATCAAGGGTGCTTCTGAAGTCAGCTCGATGGAGATCGAATTCTGCTGTCAACTGAGCAATCCTCTCATTCTTCTCCCGCAGCTGGGCCCTGATGGACAGGGCATCCGAGCCTTCCAGGTCCTCAATTGTCCTATGGAATTCCGCCAGCGTATTTGCCTGTTCCTCCAGCTGCTTATCGCGGTCCAGTAGCTGCTTCTCCAGGCTCTTAATCTGATCTTTCAATTCCTGCACCTCCGACGCCATCGAGCTGCGATGGAAGTCGGAAGTTCTAACCGAGGACATGTCATCATCCACGCTCAAGCGGGAGGGAGCCCTGTCAGATGCGCGAGACGGAGCTTTAACTGGACTTCGAGGATAGCCATTGGGGCTCGGCCCTGTTCGAGAAGCGGTGGACGGAGTACGAAGACCGGCAAGGCTAAGCTTGGAGGGGGGCGGACCACGAGGCGATCCAGGGCGAGGTAGAGAGGGTCGTCTTACACGCGGACGAGGCACTGCAGGACTGGGTCCGACGGATTTGCTGAAATTGATCGGTCGCGAAGGCGTCGGAGGGGCGGTGCTCGCGGTAGGGGCGGATGTGGAAGATCGCTTCGTGACGTAGCGATTGTTGTTCATGGGAACAAAGATGCCGGAACCAGGGACATTGGTCTTGAAATACTTTCTCCCTTCCACATCTCCATTGTTCTTCCCTCTCTTGGCATGCTCCGGAGCCAGTTCGATCCCGGCGAACTTGCCTGGTTTTCCCGCAACGCTGCCCAGGTAGCGGACCGTCCCATACATGCCCCCGGGGACGTTTACAACATCGCCGACCTGGATCTCGTCGAGAGGCGCCATGGGGATGGAGTTCGAGATTTGAGAGTGAGCGTCCTCAAAGTGCTCCAAGTGACGAACGCGACCAGAGCGAAAAGGTGAAGGGTCCAGAAATTCAGAAGGGACACAAGTCAGGAGGGGGGGAAGAAAAGAGCGACATTAAAGGGATGATGCGGTACAAGGAAGAACAGACACAAGTGGAGCTCCTGCACTTTAGATCATTGACTGGTCATTGATTGATAGGAGCAGATAAATTTTCATGGCTTTTCTGTCAGCCAACAATAGACTGTTAACTGTTTAAGGGGGTTGACGGGGGAGTTTCTTTTTCTTATTTTTATTTTCCCAGTTGGGCAGAGAAGAAGCCCGAAGAAGAAGAATGAACAGAACGGGATCCAATTGGCAAAAAGGGAACGACGAATGGCGGTTTAGGCATGCAGTGGATAGAGATATTTATCAGAGGATTGACGTCGAGGGATCATCGATCACCAACAATTGTAGTAATAGTCTGATCATGATGGTTCCCCTGTTATGTATCAACATCCTCTACGGAATACTAAAACAGCCACTGTGATGATCATGATAATGATAACAAACAACGGAGACACGAACCATGGGTTAAGTGCTTGGTACTGGTACTATTATTATTATTATCTGCTGCTCCACAGTGCCCATGCGTAATCCGACGAACTCCACGGCTGTAAGGCAGACGTTCCCTTTAATCTCTGAAGATATCCTATTGTCGATGAGACATTCATGGCCTCTTCATTCCAACCTTACTGCGACACATGCTCGACTGAGACATAAGAGACGCTGCTCTGTACAGCAGTAATCATTCCCCGACGCTAACAATTAACTACCTTGCAGTTCTCCTGATTAGCATCTCCGCTTCGTCCGATTGCCCATCGTCCACCTGGCACCTTGATCTCCCACGACGCTCTCCTCGCGTTCCTTATCCTTGCTCCCGCTTCAGCCCCGAGGTCACTTGTTTTTGAATATTGTCAAATCTCGCTCCCGATTTCTATTCACTGGCACGAAGTACGTGATTGGTCCACAGTGGGACAGTGGGACCGCGCAAGTCGACCATTCTGCGGAAGCACTTGTACGACGACTGGAGATTGTTGAGCTGGGGAGATCACCAAAGAACAATCGATCATAATCTTATTCTGATATAGAGTCCGTCGCGACAGCTTCCCTAATTCGTCGCGCAAGATGGCTCAGTATTTCTTCGATCTGCTCTACAACTTTACAGATTGCATGTGCTGCTTCCCGAGCACACCGCAGTTAAAAATCAATAATCGCAGCTTCAAATTATTACGGCTCCTTGGTGAAGTAAGTCAATCGGATCTCCAGACCATGTTATTCCGTTGTTATATACCCTCAACTGACATCGCCAACTCTGCTAGGGTGGATTTTCMTACGTTTACCTCGTCCAAGATAAGGCCACATCAGAGCTCTTCGCCTTGAAGAAGATCCGGTGTCCATTCGGCCAAGAATCTGTATCACAAGCTTTGAAAGAGGTCGAAGCCTACAACCTATTCACATCACAACCGAACATCATCCATTCGATAGACCACTGCGTATCTACGGAGCCGGGCTCGACGTTTCGTTCCGATGGCGGCGAACCAGGGTCGAAAACAGTCTACATCCTGCTTCCTTACTACCAACGTGGGAATCTTCAAGATGCGATCAATGCGAATCTCGTAAACCATACTCGCTTTCCCGAGAAGAGGCTAATGGTGCTTATGCTCGGTGTCGCCAATGCGCTTAAAGCAATGCACCAGTATCGGGTAAAGAGTGGCGCTGGGTCTACGCGCAGAGCCAAATCCGTCCGACGCGAGGGCGAGGAGGCGGACGCAGAATTATCAATGCAAATGGGCAAATCGAAGCGTCGAGCAAGCCACCGAGTAGACGAAGAAGATTCAGAGAACGAGCCGTTGATGGATGACGAGGTTACCAGAAGCCAGGAGGGAGTCCAGGAGGGCGAACTCCGCCCTTATGCGCATAGGGACATTAAGCCTGGTGAGTTGGTGCGTCTACAATTCTATGCGCAGGGTGACTGACTTGTACAGGCAATATCATGATCGACGATGACGGTCAGACTCCGATCCTCATGGATCTCGGCTCCCTAGCGCCCAGCCCGATTGCTATCACCTCCCGTTCACTAGCTCTGGCCGTCCAAGATACTGCTGCCGAGCACAGTACCATGCCGTACAGAGCGCCTGAGCTATTCGACGTCAAGACCGGGTCAATCATTGACACCAAGGTTGATATCTGGTCCTTGGGATGCACATTGTACGCCTGCCTTGTAGGGAAAAGCCCCTTTGAGGCCAGAAGCGAGGAGACCGGCGGTAGCCTCAGTATGTGTGTATTGGGCGGGGACTGGCGGTTCCCAGATGAGAAGCCCGGCGCTACCAAGGGTAAAGGCCGAGCTGGAGCTGAGGATGCGGGTAAAGACAACACCGCAACCATCAGCGAGCCAGTGAAAGAGGTAGTGCGGAAGTGTTTGCAGGTTGAGCCTGCTGACCGCCCTGACATCGATGAGCTCATTCAGAGCATAAAGGACGTGATTAAGGATATGTCAGATGACGATGGTATCGCTTCAGGGTCAGCTTAAACGGGATTATTCTATCAGGAGTGACTTTTCCTTTCTCTCTATCGAGAATCTATCACCTTCCTTTTCGCGTTCTTGCGACCAACGCCTTGTCTTGACGGCGCCATTATGTGCGGATTGTATTGTGTTTCAATCCGATTTGTAAAGTATGAGCCGAGTGCTCAACATATTCCCTGGATATCTCCTTAATATCCACCATCTCTTATGAAGTTTGTATTTCGATTATACTTTTCTCTCTCTGAGATCACAAAGGAATCCGGTCGTGACAGACCCTCGACTAAGTCTTCCCTTCTTCATACTGCCGCGATCGCGACTCTCTTCCTGATACTACTAGCGATTGGTCATTCATACGTACTTGACCTTGGTAACAATTCACCGGACCGAATAGGTAATGGGGCGTCTCGAATGTTTAGGACGTCTTCCATACGTAATGTGGACGGACTCACGATGACGAAAATCAAAAGCCTCATTCAATCAGACAGCCTGCGACAAGTGAGGCTTCTTAATGCTACCAGGCTGTACAGACCCGGTGAGCTCTTGATCGACAGTCGTAAACATGGCCATCGAATGGGGATCCGAGACCAAAGGTGCTGATGTGGTCAATGCCTTTCCCATGAGCATCAAAAAACGAACATGTACGCCAACCATTTCGAGCCCTTTCAAAGACAGCGATCGTAAGCTAAATCATGTTTTATGAAAAGTCCTCTTGACCGGAGTCAGTGGGACAGGACTACCAGCAGCAACCGCCGAGGCCCTGGCAAGCGGCGATGCAGCCGCCATCATCCTGATGGGCAAGTCGCAGGCCGAAGCGCAAGCGATGATGGACGATATCAACCACAAACACCCCAAGGTCAAGCTGATCTTCATCTCGGTAGATTTTGGCCGGTTGGCCTCTGTGCGCGAGGCGGCGGAAGCTATTAAGCAGCTTGGGGTTCCTATAGATGGGTTTGTGGGGTTTCCCACGGTAATGGCTGCACTGTGGATGAAGACGGAGGATGGAATCGAGTCTCACTTCCAGTGCAACTATCTCAGCAATTTCCTCCTGATCAACTTGGTAGTGCACTTGATGCCGGCGGGTTCAAGGGTGGTCATGGTTTGCTCTAGCATCCGGCCTGAAGCTCCGCCGCCGGCGTGGGATGACCCCAATTTCGCAGTAAGTGTTTTGCTCTGGTTTGGATTAGGATTTAAAAGGTAATCAACACGGGTTTCTGCCTATTCTGCAGGATGGAAAGACATATCATCCATTGGATGCATATGCCCTATCGATGTTTGCCAACGTTCAGATGATCAAGTGTCTGGCTATCACAGGCTGTGGACGGTCAATGGGCACCTTTTCTGTCAATGCTGGAAGTGAGTCTGCAACCTCATCATCCTCCATCTTTGGCCTGAGCTGAACATCCTTCGGACACCAAACCAAGCCTTCAGACCGTTGCTTCGCTAGAGCAAGTAGCTTCATGGCTCCAAAGGAAGAAAGAGCGTGCGTGCCAGAACCAGATGACTTTCTGCAGTTGATGAGTTCCTAACGGTCAGCCCTGTTTGAAGAGGGAGAAGATCTACCGCTTCTGCTTCAACAAGCGCCAAAGTCAGTGTCGCAGGGGATTGCCACGATTCTCAGAGCTCTTCTCGATCCGGATATCAGCGGTGAGTGGAATCCTCTCTTATGGTTGTGTAAGATATAATGTGTCAAGCCGGAGGCTATCGCGCTGATGGATATGCCTCGGGGATAGAACACTCCGGCGCATACCTAGACAATTGCCAAATCCTTGCTCTGCCGAAAATTGACTTTCCTGCTGGTGAGGAGAACGGTCGGGCGTTGTGGACACGGAGTGAGCAGATGGTAGGGCAAGAGTTTAAGCGTCTCTAGTGCTGACGAGGTTGTCTGTCTACTTATGTGTAGGAAAGTAGATAGTGAATGTTCCTATATGAGTATCCCTTTGCAGCGATAGGTAAAGCCATCTCTAATGACCAGGTAATGGAACCAATGTGTATCCTGTGATCTTGCTAATGAGTAGATGCTGTTTGTTTCCATGGAGATATGCAATGAGAATAATTGCTGAGATGTGCGGGGGAACGCAGCTATCTCCAACTTGACCCCGAATCTATCGACCACTCAAAAAGATCAGTTTCATCTCATCCCATATCTGTCGGCGAGCCCATCCAATGACGCGGAAGACTAGGAGGGGAGAACATCTACTACTGTCAATCTACGGTAATAAGCAACTACCCCAGTGGCGCTGGCTAGCTCCTTGCTTAGCTCGACGGCCATTGAGACTGTCCAATGAACCTCACCAGTAGCCCATCATCCTTGTTCCTTTATCTCCAGACAGAGTACCGCAAAAGAGAGGAGGAAATTCCGCTTCCAAAGTATTGGCTTCTTTGTACTGGTGGAGTCACTGAGCCAGAGACCTCCTTCCTTCGTCTCATGCTTCTGACTATGGATCATCGTCTCCTCGTGGAGCGAGCCCCGATAAGCGATCAAGCGGACCTCCTTGGTATCTGAGCTCGGTGCAGCCATGCATCCATGCATCATCATCCAGTCCCATGATAGCGGAATGCTTCCGAGCCGTGCTTATCGGCTATTGTGCGTTGTAGTACAGTTGGGACGCTGCCCTTGCACCTAATAACTATTAGGAATGTGCATCTCCGCCATATCGCCTCTTGGTGGATCCTCGAGAGGAGATAACGAGTACTCGTACTTCCTTTCAACTCCGTACGCCCGGGTGGTCTTCGAAATTAAAGCTCGTAGAAGCAACCTGTCCCTGTGTGTGATGAATACATTCGGCAGTGAGACTTATCTCCGATTCGGCATTCCAATTGCACACCCATCGGGCTGAGGAGAGGTGTGTACACATTTGGAACATCCAAGGACATATAAAAAGCATTACTGCAGTTTACGGATGGCATTTTGACCTTCTGCAAACGATTTGCCTCGTCATGGCGCCTCGTGTGGACAGCAACGCCGTCCCAGGCACGTTCACCCTGGTGGATGTGGATGGTGTCTTGGCCACTCGTCACCTTGATAGGGGAGACAGAGATATCGTGCTCGTGCCTGAACCCTCCAACGACCCTGATGATCCCTTGAATTGGTCACCACGGCGCAAGCTGCTATCTACGATCTGTGTGAGCGTGTGAGTCGACCAAAGAGGTTGTTTTGATCTGGTGTTCTTTATCAGACAGCTAATCTGCTCCCTATCGTGCAGGTACACCTTGTTTGCAGGCATCTCAACCTCGGTTGTTTATTCGGTGCTGGTTCAGCTCTCTGAAGAGACCGGTGTTGCGGTGGACACTCTCAATCAGGGAACCGGATATATGTTCTTGCTCGCAGGCTGGGGCCTTCTCTTCTGGCAACCATTCGCATTGCAGTATGGTAAACGGTTGACGTACATTCTCTCATTAGTTGGAATATTGGTGAGTCTGCAAAGTAATTGTACCGTTGCCAAGGTCGAGAAACTGATAGTCTTTGCAATAGGGTACCTTGATATGGGGGTACGTTATCCTGATGCTTCACCATGGACTCTAATTGCTAATGGTGAGACTCCCAACAGTCCTTATGTTCGTTCGAACGGCGAGTGGATTGGCCGCAGCATTTTGTCAGGCTTCTTCGTTGCTCCGATTGAAGCCCTTCCAGAAGTGACGGTCACGGATGTGGTGAGTATTTGTGGCTCAAAGCGGATGCCGTATATTGATAAAGGCTAGTATTTTACCCATGAACGAGGGACGTATATGGGTCTGTATGCCCTCTTTTTGGCGGGGAGCAACTACTTTGCGCCGGTCATATGCGGCTTTATTGCCCAATATCAGGGATGGCAATGGGTTTTCTACTGGCCTGCCATATTCTGCGCTGTGACTATCGCATTCCTCTTTTTCTTCATGGAGGAGACAAACTACACACGGAAACATGCCGAGACAGCCACCGTTGAGGGTGAGCTACAGTCGTCAACAACCCCCTCCGAGCAAGGTGACCAGGAAAAAGCTCTACCTGCCACTGCACAACCGGACGAAACAGAGTGTGGAGTCATCTACAGCAAGAAAACCTACATTCAGAAGCTGTCAATCATTGGACCACGACAACCCAGGAACAACATGTTTAGGAGGTTCTACCAAATGTTGTATTACCTGAGCTGGCCAGTTATCTTCTATGCTGGGTACGTCAGCGGTTTCTCATCTTCGTTTCCAACATTGGATATTGACGGGGCAGGTTTTCGTATGGCTCGTATCTGATATGGTTCAACGTGTTGAATGCCACTGCGTCTCTTATTCTGGGGTCAGCACCATATAATTTCAGGTAAGACTGCTCAGAGAAGGTCCTAGCATGCGTCCCACTAAGAATATCAGTTCATCAATGGTCGGTCTGAGCTATCTCGCATGCTGTCTAGGTGTCATTGGCGGGTGAGTTGGTCTTAGGGCTAGCGAGCAATCAACGTACAGACCCTACTAACACAGCCTAGGTCACTTTTTACCGGAAGATTCAGTGACTGGCTTACTATCAAACTAGCTCGACGGAACGGCGGAGTGATGGAAGCCGAGCAGCGTCTCTGGCCCTTCCTTGCATGTTTGATTCTTGTCCCTGGGTCCTTACTCCTCTGGGGTGTTGGTGCAGCCCACGAGGCCCACTGGTTCGGACTTCTAGTTGCAATGTGCCTTCTTGCGCTCGCCAACACCTGCGGAATCACTCTGAGCGTCAACTATCTCGTCGACAGCTACAGGGAGCTGAGTGGCGATGCGATGGCTAGTGTCATCTTGGTTCGCAATACAATGTCATTTGCCATAGGCTACGGGTAGGTTACGGCCCAAGCGGACTTGAATACGAGTGCTGACAAGGACTTTACTAAAATAGAATTACGCCCTGGCTTGAAGACCTGGGATACCAGAACTGCTTTGTGTCCGCGGCCTTCATTGGCATGGCCATATCTGCCGTGTTCCTAGTGATGATCAAATGGGGAAAGACATTCCGAGCTCGCAGTCGCGACAAGTACTGGAGCATCGTCAGGGAGAATCAAGCCAGGGGAATGGGACATTGATGATTGGGACGTATGAAGAAGGCTGTTAGGGGAACGAGACAGGACGATATAAACGACAAACTTCATGATATATACATCTCTCAGACCATGCAAATAGCTATACATCTGCAACAAGCACTCATTCAGCCAGCTTTATGTTCCCCTCCGCATCATAGACAATCTCCCGCATCTTCACACTCCGCAGATGATCCACCCCTCCGGACAGCGAACAGTCATGATAGAAAAGATACCACTTCCCCTGGAACTCCGCGATAGAATGATGCGTCGTCCACCCAAGCACAGGCTCCAGAATCCGACCACGGTACGTGAATGGTCCCAGCGGACTATCCCCCGTCGCATACACCAGGTAATGCGTATCGCCCGTCGACCACGAGAAGTAATACTTGCCGTTATACTTGTGCATCCACGCCGCCTCGAAGAACCGCCGCTCATGGTCATCCGCCGCCAGCGGCCTCCCCTCCTCATCCACAATCTCCAGTTCTTGAATCTCCCCCTCAAACTCAAGCATATCCTCCGTCAGCCGCGCCACCCGCGGATACAGCGCCTTCACCCCCTCCCCGCTGGGCTCCTGAGGGCCCGTCTTCGACGCATCAAACTCCCATTCCCCCGTCTCCGAGCGGGACCAGCACTGCAACTGCCCGCCCCAGATCCCGCCAAAGTACAAATACCCCTGCCCGTCGTCGTCGACAAACGCCGCCGGGTCAATGCTGTAGCTGCCGCTGATGGGATTCGGCTGCGGCGCGAACGGCCCCTCGGGCTTGTCCCCCACCGCGACGCCAATGCGGAAGATGCCCTCGCGGTCGCGCGCAGGGAAGTACAGGTAGTACTTGCCGTTCTTTGTTGCGGCGTCGGGGGCCCAGAGCTGCTTGGAGACCCAGGGGATGTCGGAGTCCTTGAGGACGACGCCGTGGTCGGTGACGGGGCCGCCGACGGTGTCCATCGAGAAGACATGGTAGTCATTCATGTCGTACTGGTCGCCATTGTCGTTGAACTGGATATCTGTCTCGCGGTCGTGCGAGGGGTAGATGTATAGTTTATTGTTGAAGACATGGGCGGAGGGATCCGCGGTGTAGATGTGTTTGACGAGGGGTTCGCTGGCCATTTTTTCTTTCCTCTTCAAAGGTCTAGTCTAGCGAGTACGAACTGATCGCATGAGCATCCTGATACCGAACGTGCCGTTGGATTTGGATTCTTATACCATCTCCAATGCCTCGGTTTTATCCGACTCAGGCTAAACAGTCGACCCCACGAAATTACCCCACCACTCCATCAGGCTAAACGGGGGATTAGATTCGATATTCCTTAATCAATTCAAGTCAAATTAAAATGTAACCCCTATCCAATGGCATTCTAGTATGCGTTTAGCTGAATGTATGTGTCAAGGCTGAATATGCATGCGGCACCACCACAAACTCCCACAAACCAACAAAGGCAAAAGCGAACAAAGATATTTGACACAATGAGCAATGAGCATCAACGTCCCCATGCCTTCCACCTCAAAATAGCATCAGGATCATCCCGCTGCGCCTGTAAAAGACCCTGCTCCCACTCCCACTCCATCCTTGCCAAAAGCTCGTCTGTTTCGTCCTCTCCATGCTCCCTAACAGTAGGCGACTGACACCCTCTCAACCCAATAAAGCGACCAAACCGACGCCGCTTCGTCTGTAGGTCGACGCTTTTCTCGCCCTGTGTGCCGATCCACGCGGGGATCGACACGGGGTATGCCCTTGTGCCTTCCACCGGGGGCCATACCTGGTGGAAGTGACGGGCTAGATCGTCCAACTGCCGATTGGTGAGTAGGTGGTAGGCGAGGAGGGTCTTTGGAAATTCGGGATGCTGCAGCCCCGTGGTGCTGGAGACGAGGGGGCAGAGCGGGGTGCGTAGATGGCGGAGGATGGGCTGGAAGGATGGATGAGCCTTGCTGGGGCGTCTTTCTGGTCTTGATTCGGCTTGTGATGGTGCCTGCGATGGCTTTGGCGTCGATCGGCTCGAGGTCGAGTTTGTGGGTGTTGATGGTGAGAATCCACAGGAGATAGTGGGAGATTGAGGCGACGAGGGGTCTATCACGATACGGGGAAGGGATGGATTATTGCTGCCCTGCATTTTGAATATGGATGAATTAGTTTCTGGTGAAAGTGAGAGATAGACTTTGGATGTCTCTGTAAGATTAATTTTTTTTTTTTTTTTTTTTTTTTTTTTTTTTTTTTTTTTTTTTGGTTGCTGCGTGAGAGTTGATTGCTCAAATCAAAGCATTTGGATCGTAGCAGTGAGGCCATAGAGATTGAGAGTAGGCAATCGCCACTTATATACTTCATCATGAACCATGAAACACCTGTTGTACGTGACAAAGGCTTACGATGAAGAAAAAGCCACGACAAGAATAGCAATTCTTTGTTGACGCCAACGAACCAGCACTCGGCGATATTGTACTCTCCCTTTGTCTCGAAGGCTTTTCCGTTACATCTTAGAATACGACAAATCAAACAATAAGATCATCCAACAATGTAATGAAATATCCATTGAGAGTAATCAACAAAAGATCATGAAACTGAAACTCGAATTCGAAGGACACCGACGAGGCTATATCAAAAGGTCACTGTCATTGTGCACATCCAAGACACAAATGCAGAGTCGTTACAAGGCCTGAGTCTATGAAAGGGATAGACCAGCTACACGCTTCTCCAATGGCGTCTTCTTCGAGGTAAAGGCGTTGCCCTTCTCATCGGTCACCGGAGGCAAGCCGGCATACTTGTTGATCCAGTTGAAAACAGTTTGGTGCCATACGAGAGAGTTCTCTGGATTGAGCACCCAGTGGTTCTCGTCTGGGAAGGTCAGGAACGCACTCTCGATCCCCCTCATCTGCAGGACGTTGAACGCTGCAAGACCCTCGGCTATCGTCAAACGGTAGTCGAGCTCATTGTGGATGATCAGATGCGGGGTCTGCCAATGCTCCGTAAAACGAGACGGATCCCACTTCTCCCAGTTCTCTGGGACCTTCCAGATCGGGCCTTCCAGATCATGGAGCGGGAAGTATTGTTCCTCACTGGCAAGCTGCGAAGTCATGCTGAATACACCATCGTGAGTGACGAGCGCCTTGAATCGACGGCCGAGAGAGTGGCCCTGGATCCAGTTCATCATATAACCACCATAAGATGCCCCAAGTGCAACGGCTCGGGTGGTGTCAACATAATCCAGATTCTCCTCTATATAGTCAAACCCTTTTTCGATATCGATGTAAGGTAGACCTCCCCAAGAACCACGGATCGCGTCCGTAAATGGTTGCCCGTATCCGGTGCTACCTCGGGGATTGGGCGTAATGACGACGTAACCCTGCTCAGCAAACACGGCAGGGTTCCATCGAGTGCTCCATTGATCATTCCATGCGCCCTGGGGCCCTCCATGAATMAGATAAGCGAGCGGATACTTGTTGCCAGACTTAAAATTGGACGGTTTAACCACCCACGCATGGACGGGGTGATCCTCCGCACCTTTGAACCAGATCTCATCCACCTGTGTGGGTGAAAGACCAAAGGCGGCACCTCCACGGCCCATAGATGAGACGACCCTGACCTTGGATGTATCCTGGGTGTCAATGATGGTCCACAAGCTATTGTCTACCAGATTATTGCTGGCGATCAACAGATTCGATGAATTCACGCCCAAGGGAAAAACATCCGTAACATAACCAGAATGCGTGAGCTTCTTCAACACATCAGGTGTGCTATGGCGGACATTGTCGAGCGGAAGCTGATACAAAACGCCACGGCCCAGCTCCTCGACCTGAACGAATAATGACTGATCATCCTTAGCAAATGTCAATGCCGACGGGCTGAGATCCCACTGTCCCTTGCCATCAGCAGAGGCAAAAACTTCAATCATCTCGCCACTCCAAGGGTTTGGAACGTATAGGATTCTGTTCTTGTCCGACTCATAACCATCCTCACGCATCGCGAGGAGAGCAATGGAGCTACCATCAGACGAGAGAACAGGCGATGACATAGCACCCTCGAGACCCTTGACCGTGCACACCTTGGCTTCCAGAGCGCTCACACCGGTCCAGGAGAACATCGGACAGTAGTAGCACGAGCAGGAAGTGTGCGTCGCGGGGTTAAGATTAGGATCCTTCGCAACAAACACAATTGCTGACGGGCTAATGTCAAAATCGCCTGAGCCGCCAAAAGGAGGGATAGGCGACTCAACCCCAGTCAGCCCGCAAACCGAGATCAGGTTCGTCAGCCCAGAGATGGAATATCTGCCCGCCTGTCGAGTTGCAGGGGACAGAGGTGCGCGCTGCAGCAAGCCATACCAAATAGCGTTACGCTGTGGCTCGACCCACGAGTCCCAGTGTCGGACAAACAGGGACGTGTACAGCCTCCCTGAACTGAGAGGCTTTTTGGCGTCGTGTGGGTTGTACAATGAACCATCCGGGTTGGCCTTCCCGGCCACCGCAAACCCAATTTTGCCCGGTTCGACAACAGTCACCTTGAGATCCGACACGGGACCGGGAACAGTACCCGCAGTGTAGGTCTTGTCGACTTCCCGCGCGTCTCCGACAATGAAACTGGTGTTGCCATTTGCCTTTGTCTTCAGCCAGATCAGCTGGTCGCTGTTATCCAGCCACTGTGGGCTGCTGGCGCCCGGATCGTTCGTGATGAGGGCCGATCGGCCAGTGGCGATGTCTAGTACACGGATCTCATTGGTCTTGGAATGAGAGTCGAAGGAGTAGGATGTCTGCGTGTAGACCGCAAGTGTCCCCGAAGAGTTGGGGATGGGCCCAGAGCGGCGGGGAGCTCCCAGGAGGACCCTGATCAGGTCAGCGATCCGAACAGCGGTGAGATATGCCTTTTTCTGACTCCAGATCTCCACGAACTCTAGGACGAAACGAATCTGATCTACTTACTCTGGAGTAAACTTCATTGATCGGATGGTCATGTCCGTTCCGCAGTGATAAGAGCTGTCTTGATAAGATGGGCGCCAAGAGTTGAGGGGAAGAGTGAAGACAATGCGATTGGGTTGAACAGACAATTGTGTGATTTGTAGATAATAAATTATTATTATTATACCGTATATATGGCAAACTGCGAGATCAAACAACGACGGATGGTAGTCAGATCAGGAGGGGTTGTGGACAGATGGAAGGGTGGAGGGAAGAGAGGAGGTTGGAGAAATGGAGAGAGCTGCCTTATCGCGTGAGGAGAAGATTTGACCTTCAATACTAAGTCTACTCCGCAACCGGATCTGAAGTCTTGGACCGAACATTCTTATTTCATTGCTTCCACGTAGATTGACCGTATAAATACAAAAAAGAAAATTAACAGACGGATCTAGGTGCCAACAGATTTTTTAAAAAAAAACCCTTTACTCCTCTTCCTCCTCGCTCTCATCCTCTTCCATGCCTTCAGCTGCCGTCACAGTAAACGTGGGAGCTTGGTCGACGCCCACATAGCTGTCGCACATTAGGTACAGCGTCAACTCATGTTCACCAGGCGTAGGCACAATGTACTCCAGGCGCAACTCCAGTTTGCGGCCGATGGTAACTCGCTTGATGGCGAGTAAATTCTTCGTCTTCTCGTCTCCCACCACCAACCACCAATTCTCCATCTTCTTACCGGGGTAGAACGGCGCGTGCACAGTAGTGTCTGGCTCCTCGTCCTCTTCGACTTCCCGTTCAACCTTGATCTTGAGATACGCCGGCTCGCCGGATGTAATGTTCTCGGGATCCTCCACCTGGAAGTCAAGGTCAAGGTTGGGGTACTTCTCGTTCGTGAATGCGGCAGCTTGAGCCAACTGTGAGTTATCGAGACCAAGTCTCTTGACCAACGTGGGGTAATCCTTGTTCTCGGATGGGTCCATCGCTTCCATGAATTCGAAGATGTCATTGATGTTGTATTCATTCGCCACCTTGATGGCTTCAGGGCCAAAGTGAGGAATCTGCTTAAGGGGGCTATCCCGATCCCACATGGCTTGGACCACCATCTGCGACATCTCCATGGCATTCATTGCGTTCAAGTGACCCTCAGATGAGAGAACATCGACACATGCACTGAGAAGGTTGAGAACCTTGCTGACAATGACCTCCTGGTCCTTGGCAAGATCAATGGGCAGTTGCATGCGGGAAAAGTGAGCTTGCAGGAGAACAAATGCCTTGAAGTGAGGCGAGTCGTAGGCAGGTTCTGACATCTTGACGGGTACACGATCGTACACTCGTCGCAGAATGTGGTCTTCGTGTCGACGCATCTGAATCGATTCGAATTCCGTGGCCGAGGTGATAATCTCCAAAATGCCCTTGAGCTTTGTGCGAGCGCTGAGCGACAGGAGGAAGGTCTGCATGGTGATGAAGGAAATGTTGTAGTAAGCGCCAATCATAGCCGCATTAAGGGGCGAGATGCTGTCATCCTCCTCATCCAGATCAATGATCCTAGCCTCCGACAGCTCCCTCAATGTGTTCTCCACCAACTCGGACAAGAAAGTGCTGAGTCCTTCGTGGCTAATATCACTCAGACCGTAGAAGCTGGGGTTGGCAAGGAGACGGCGGTAAAAATACGTGTAAGTCATCCAATCCACGGCGTCCTGGGTCGAAGTGATTGTCCTCGTGCTGATCTCAGTGACAAATGCGTCATGTAAGTACAATTGCAAATGACTCTCGACGGGCAAAGCTTCGTTCAGGAACTTCTTGTAATACTCGCGCTTGACTGAAGGTACCATCAGGACACCTCGGCCAATCTTGTCCTCCTTAGGGCGAGTAGCTTTGCCGAACATCTGCAGGATTTCGCTGATGGGATAATCAATGTAACGGTGCTCACGGCCTTCAAAGAACTGTGTTCCCATGACGATTACAAGATGCGCCGTGAGATTCAGCTCCCAGCAGACATCGCGTGAAGCAAGTAGGACCTGGATCGCACCAATCGTGAAGAGATGCGAGACAATGCGCTTGTCGGTGGCGCTAAGAGCTTCGTGATAGTATCCAATACCGTGGGAGAGCGATTCCGCCAGCGTCCGTTCCTGAATCCGGTTCAGTAGCGGCGCAAGTTCATTCACATCAGCATGGAGGAACCGGTCTTCGTTGTCATCAGCAGCGCAAGCAGCCAAGATATCAATAGCTGTCGATCTTGTCTGCTTACGATTGGGTACAAACACAAGCGCGGGCTTGTCAGGAGCCAACTGCAAGATCGAGTGATATGCCGGTTTAGCCATGGCCAGCATGAGTGAGGGGAAGTGGKGAATGCTGAAGGACTGGAGATGAAGCTCGAGAGGCACGGGGCGAGCGTGAGGGCTGAAATTGTAAATCGTATGCTTGTTCGCTCCAATCCACTCGCCAATGTCGCGGGCGTTAGCAAGTGGCACGCTCAACCCAACGATGCGCATACCGTTCTCTAGCTGAAGGGCAATAGAATGCATGCGCGACACCACTACTTCGTACACATATCCTCCATAGCCTCCAAGCATATGCAGTTCATCTGCGATAAACAGCTGCACGAATTGCACGTTCTTGCGTCTTTGCCATTGCCGGGACAGAACATCCCACTGCGTCGGCGTGGCGAGAACCAGATCTGCCTGATCTAGCAATTTCAGATCCGCAGTGGTCTCTCCAGTCAGCTTGACGATATTCTTGCCGCCACCGAGGTTACCCAACCGCTTCTCCCAGTCCGCATGCCGTTGATCAATCAATTCTTGGAAAGGAGCGATATAGACGGCTCTGCCACCCTTTCCGGTCGCCCAATGCCGCAGCAATGCAAGCTCAGCACAAACAGTTTTGCCACTGCCCGTAGGAGAACCGAGGAAGACATTGTCATCGGAATCATACAAAGATTTGAAAGTTTGACTCTGGATCTTGTTGAAAAATTGCCACTCAGGATACAGCTGCTGGTAATCCTCACGCTTCAGTGCCTTGACAGGCGCCCGTTGCATGTCCAGCAGAGGAGTATGGGGCGGGAATCGCTCCGGAAGGATCAGCTTCTGGAAAGACACCGCAATCTTGGTCTCTGAGTGCATCCACCGATCGGAAACGAGAGAGATGAAGTAGCTGGGGGGCATAGGCTCGGTAATGGGAACAGTAAATTCGACCAGGTGCTCATTCATCTCGGCCTGCGCATAGTCCTTCCGGAGGATGAATTGATCGTGGAACAAGATTTCCTCGCCGTCACAGTCCTCGACGAGGATCCAAAAATCTTGCGCTGTCCCGTGCAAAGCATCATCCCACACAAAATTCGGAGTAATGGTAAGCTCCACTCGAAGCAATGACCGGGTTACAGGCTGAACTTGCGCCTGGACTTCCAAACGAGGGAACTTGGACACGAGATCACACACCGTCCGTCCAGCTTTGGGCATACCAAGAAGTTCGCCCATGCGAGGAGGGTCGAGGTCGAAATAGCTGGTCCAAGGCACGTCAATTCTCTCTGCTTTCTGCAGGATATCCCGGGGGCAGTTAGGGAATTGACGAAGTGGTGTCATGGTCGGCCACATCCGCCGTTCCGCCATCTTGCAGAGATCGAGAGCAGTCTTCGCGACAGTCGACCAGCCTTTCTTCAAGGAAATCTCAAAAAGGGCCCGCAGAATACGACCCGCAGACTGAGTGACATACACCATGTCTGCCATCAAAGCAAGACCTTCTAGCTTCAGTCTGGAAATGTAGGCCTGTAGCAAAACGTTGATCTTCGAATGAGGTTCATCAATGCTCTCCTTCACAGGAACAGGAACACGACCGAGAAGCTTTGCTAACTCCAACTTCTCGTCTTGTCGAACAGGGATGTACTTGAATTCGTCGCTGAGGGCGAAAATGCGGAAGAGCTCAATGGTCGAGATGGACGGTTGGATATGCTGAGAGTAGGTCAACATGGAGTTGTGGCCGATGTAGTAATGCGAAGCAATTCGTCCCAATTCGGTGGACTGCAGACGTCCAGTCTTCTTCTCATACTTGATAAGCCCGGCCCGTTCCAAGATGACGGCTGCGGAGTGAACTAGGTCAACTCGCTTTTGTTCCAACGCGTCGTCGTTCTCATAATCGGCGCCCACGCTGTACAGGCCAGGCGAGCGGAGCATACGGACAAAAAGATAAGTGTAACCCAGCCACTCCACTCCCTCGTCGCGGTTGCGGATGTTTCCAAGTACGATCTCCGCATTCATGTTATCGGCAAGTTTGCTCATGAGCTGACTCTCAATCGGCAACTGCTGGTTCATGAGGGAGAGGTAGTACTGAATTTCAGTTTGGGATGTGATAATAATACCTTCGCCAAATGTGTCGTATTGAGGTCGCCCAGCTCGTCCTAGCATCTGGAGGACATCCTGGGGGCTAAGCTCGACCCAGCTACCCTTCTCCGGTGAATATACCTGAGTTCCTTTGATGATAACGGTATGCGCGGGAAGGTTGACACCCCAGGCAAGAGTTGCCGTGCATACGAGGACTTGAATGCTGCCATCAGCGAACAGCGCTTGGACGGAGTCACGATCCGCAAGACTCAGTCCTGCATGGTGGATACCGAAACCGTATGGCAACAGGTCTTTCAGCGACGCATCATCGACGGACTCGGCTTCTTCCGCTAGAATAGCCCTGCTTGCAGCATCGCTACGCAAGATCTGGCCAATAGTCTCCATCTCCAATGCCTTATCCCTGATGTACTTGGCGGTCTTCGCCGTTTCCTTTCGAGAGTGAACGAAGATGAGCATCTGGTTTCTTCGCTGCCCGACTTGCTCGAGAACTTTGTTATAGCAAATATCGTTCATCATCTTCAGCTGCTTGATGGCTTTCTTGTCCGTGACACCAATGAATTCCTGCTTCAAGGGGCATGGTCGATAAGAACCATCAAAGTGGAACAGGCCTTTATTGGGGTCAACTCGTAAAAAGCTGGCCACATCACGGTAGTTTGGTAAAGTTGCACTGAGACCAACGATGCGGACAGGCTCTCCGGTATGCTCTACCTTGCGAATTGTCCGAC